CCAGAGGAGCCCTGTTCAACGGTTCCCAAGTGCGCTGCGCTATCGGATTCCGCGGTTGTACCACAACGAAAATTGACTTCTTTTTGTCCGAGCTATCTCCTGAGCAACGCCTTCAGTTTTTTCTATGTAGAAAAAAAAGCATCTCTGACCGAGAAATGCAGACGCGGGGAGTCAAACCCATTGTATCGCCATGGAATTTGACTTTGCAGTGGTGTGCCGTGCACCACGTCCGCTTCACCTCTCAATTCATACGTCGAATATATCCAGGGATTTACGGCGGGTTCTGATTAAACAAAGCACCGAAGGCGTGGACGACGCGGACGCGGCGCAATCGAACCCCATCCAATCGCTAGTTGCTCACAAAGAGTTGGTGCAGTCCCATTTTGTCACTTCTCATCCAGATTTGCCTCGACGCCTCCCTTAAAACGAAAAAGGTAGAGGTCGAATTGAGGTCGAACAGAAAGCGGACGCGGGGAGTCGAACCCCGTTCAACCGCTTCAAACCACTGCCCTCTCTTTTATTACTTGCAGTGGTGCACCATGCACTACGTCCGCGTCGGGCTTTTAAAAAGCTTCTTTAAAGTGAAGGTGAAACCCAGGCTCACTCCCTTGAAATTAGCCGATCTCAGAGCAGAGTGCAACTCCTCCCTGCGCTTCCGCCCATTCTTCAGGACCTTATCAATGAAAACGAGGAGAAAAAGGATCAAAATTTGATACAACGATCTCGCACAATTTCTTTGTTTGTCGCTTCAGTGAGCAGGACTGACGACTAGGTAAAAGCACTGTCGACACCCGTGTACGCTGGCTTCCGAACAAAGTTCGTGTCCCAGAGCAGTGGGGCAGCCGCCGCCCCAAGCCAGCTATCCTGCAGAGACTCTCAGCCCACCCAATCCTAATTCAACCAATGCCGAGCGGCCTCACCTTGTCGCTCACGCCCCAGGTCGTAATCCCAACACAACGCGCGACCGAAAGACACGCAGTCGCGACGGTCTTGTAGTCCGATGACTGCTGCGCCTCGTTCGCGGTGCTCGTGCTGCTCGCAATGTCGAGCTCGGTGATCGCGACGTCCAATCCCGTGTTCGCCAGCGTTTGGAGGTTCGCGGCGATGGTCCCTGCGTGGCCGATCTGAATGTGTGTCTGGCTCCCGATGCCGTCGATAGGCACGCCTCGCGCCTTGAGGCGCCCAACGAGCGCGACCATGCCGTTCGTCTTGGCACCGGGCGCGTCGAGATCTGCCGGAGGTTAGTTAATTCAGCGCAATATGCGGATAAGAAGACACACTGAAGTCGTTGATGTATAGCTTCGCCGCTGGGTCCGCGGCACGGGCTACCGGAACAATCAGAACATACAGGCACGAAATGAAAGAACAGAGAGTATACCCGCTTTGAACGCAATGTCGATGAAGCTCTCCCCAAGCAGATTCGAGAAGACGCTGGAGCCCAGGGAGCCGTCCTCGTTCAGGCACTCGTTTACGACGTCCCAGCTACGGCTTCCGTTAAACACAGGCACTCCGAGCAAAAGTGTGCATACGCATAGATCTTGCCCTTGAACCGCGTCACCAGCGTCGTGACGTGGTTTTGGATCACCGTCGTGAGATCAGCGGCGGACGTTATGGAGGACACCCAGGCCGGGAGCTGGTTGTGCCAGACTGCGGAAACGGCAGAGTCAAGAACACTGAATAAGCGGGCTAGGCAGGGCGGCGCGCCATACCCAATGTATGCCCGCGCACGAGACGGCCGTGCGCCTGCGCAAACGCAACAAGCGCATCGGAGTTCGTGAACGTAAATGTCCCGCGCGATGCTATTCACCACACTCAGTAAACAACGTAGGATCGGATAGCATCGTGTAACTTACGTTCCGTCGCGTCCCATTTCATACTACTCCTTCATTAGCGGGAAGCGGTAGGGGGAATATACTGTCAAACTGACCTGTTCTCGGGGGTGTAGGCGCCATAGTCGGACGTCAGGATCGTCACGTCTATAGCGACGCCAATCGTCCCTGGGTCGGCGGCGGCGCCAAAGTATTTCTTGCCCTTCGCCTTGATCTTGGTGTCTAGGAGCCCAAGCACCAAGGCAGGCGCGAGGAGCAATGCGGCGAGTCCAGCGGTCTTCATCGTATGGAATTCGTTCGAGAGTCCGATGGTCCCAGAATGTGCACCTTTATATACGCGTATGCTTGCTGACCCGGAGGCTGGGTAGTTACTCCGAGCTGTGTCAGCAGAGTAGGGACGAATGGTTTATGCACACTTTAATGCGTCCGGGACGCGGTTGTTGTGACGAGACACCCCGTGAATAGCCAGAACGCGACGACGCGTCCCACGTCACCCACCAAATACGAGTCGCGCTGCTCGACTGGGTCACCTGTGTATCGCCAAGACCATATGGCGCATCTCCCACTTCCGGTGTCCCTAGCGCCTGAACCGAGGCTAGGGCCCCACAAGCAGATGGATTTAAGAATCAACGGAAAACTCCGAATAAAAGCCGGGCGCATTCTGGAGCCATTCCAACGACGCTTAAGATGCAACACATGCATCTAGTTTTAAACGGTCGGTCGCCTGATTTGCAACTTCAGCAGAAAGAACGCACCCATATGTAGAGACTCCCATGTTTCTGAACTCCGGTGCCCACCACGGCAGGTCGACGCCGTTGGGAAGATACATACGTCAGAACGCGTGCGCCCTCAGACATCTTGATCTGGACCTTCCCAGAACGGAGGGTGTTCCTTGTCCACAAGCCCACATCCGTCCAAAACCATTGCAAAACGTTACAGCAGCTCAGTGCTCTAGGGAAGCTCTTGGACGGGGGTTGATCGTAAAATGAGATCAGCCGGAGTAGCCCAGAGAATCGATCGCAAAGGGAGGGGTAGAGAGCAAGCTAAAGCGTACAGTAAATAGTATTTCATGGTCGTGGTCTAAAGGCAAGCTGGGATGATTTGTGCATATTTGCTTGTGCCGTTCGCCGGCATGCGCAAGACTGCACCGCTTTTACTCTCACAACCCAAGGGGATTCGGATTTGCGAAATCCGCACTACGTACCAGAGCCTGAGCAACCAGGAGCGCTGGGCTGTGGCGCGCGTGTGTTGTCTCTCTCTGGCGTCTTCATTGCTTTCATTGACTCATCCTACCAACATGAAGACCCCCGGGAAAGCTCAGGCCGCAGTGCCCGCACTGAAAGCAACGTTGTCGACATGTATTATCCGACTCTTTCTGTCAGACGGATACGAACCTCGATTTTCCGCCTCTCCCGCCCAAGGCCCTTTCGACAAGTCCAGACTACTTTCTCAAAAATACAAAGCGCCCATAAATCTCAAAGGCAGTGGTGATGGGTCTCAGGCTGCCACCTCGCTCGACAGTTCCCGCTTTTTGCTTGATGGTCACCAGTATCAAGAGCGGAATGCCGTGTACAAAGCGCAGCAGGCCGATAAATATGCCTCCTGCTGGCATCCCACCCATCTTTCCTCCCCTCTGCAACTTCAGCGCTAGCTAGCTCGGCACAAACGCTATGGCTCGCCCCGCCGCGCTCCCCAGCAAGAGCTCCATCATCGCAGCCACCGTTCTGGTCCTGCTCTTCTTCCTCGTCCCCGCCGTTCTCGAATCCTACCCCGTAACAGGCTCAATAAACGATGTCCTCGCCTGGGCGGGCGACAAGTTCATGCTCGGATTAGCGGCGCTCGCGCTCATCGGCGGGACGTGGACGTTTGTCTCGCTCGCGCGCGATGCGCACAGGTGGCTCAACAGTGTCCCGGAAGACTGGGAGGCCCCCACACCCGCCGCCCTCGAGGACGGCACCCTACGGAGCCCACACGCGATTCCGGGAGGCGGAGACGCGGATGCTGACTCGCCCCCGGCATCTAGTATCAGGAACGATCCAATCATCAAGGTCCTGCGGGCAGCCCTCACCGTCGGCTTCATCGCCTCCCAACTCGTCCGACGCGAGGTCGTTTCGCTGGGCGCGCCGCTCCTGGACAACGCCGGCGCGACGCTGCTGTTCCTCCTGCGCGGGTTCGAGGTCCTCTTCGTCGTGGCCTTGCTGCTTACGCTGCTCCTCGTGTGCTGGGCGGGGGATTGGCGCTGTCGTTATGCGACGGCGGCGCTCGAGACGACGGTGGTAGGGAAGGACCGAGCTCAACCCGCTCAGCCTGTGGTTGACGGAGGGCCCACTGGTTATCATAAGGGAGGAGAAGGAATGCAAGGAGAAGCAGAAAGCGTGAGCTGCGCCGCGCGTACTCGGATAATGATCACGATAAGAACTCGACCCCCGTTTATCTGCTTCCAACAACAGTTTCAATAATGTAATTTAGTACACTACGTCTGGACATAATACCCCAAATCGAAGGGACGCGAGCACTCTCTGAGTAAATGTAGTTTGCAACTCGATGCACCAGTGCGGCGTCCCCTTCCTTCGAATTCCAGCATTCATGCGTCGAATATACCCCCGCGTTTTGGCTCTCTATTCTAATGAAAAAAGAAAAACTTGGTACTGCGTGACCGGCTATGCGGACGCGGGGAGTCGAACCCTGGTCAACTGCATGCATGCATTTTTTGCCGGGACAAATTATGCAGTGGTGCGCCGTGCACCACGTCCGCTTCTACCTTGCATTCAAACGTGGAATATATCGGGGGGTTTCGGGACTGCTGTAATGAAAAAAGCTGTTCAAATGATGAACATGCGGACGCGGGGAGTCAAACTCCGTTTAACTGCCTCCAGCAATTGACGTTGGATAAGGTAAGGTATGCAGTGGTGCGCTTTGAACCACGTCCGCTCCCTTCTCTGTTCTCATGTTGAGGGGTTTGGGGCCGCTCTGCTTCAAAAAAACGTTTCGAACCCGACCATCAATGCGGACGCGGGGAGTCGAACATCGTTCAACTGCATGCTGAATCAAATGGCCCAAATTGAAGCTGTGGTGCGCCGTACACCACGTCCGCTCCCTCCCTCTGTTCTTCTGTTCAATTTATGTAGGGGTTCGGGGACTCTGATAGACAAAGTCCCAGAGTTCAAACCATACGGACGCGGGGAATCGAACCCCGTTCAACTGCATGCTGAACCAAACGACGAAGCTCAAATTGAAGCAGCGGTGCGCCTTGCACCACGTCCGCTTCCTCTCTCTGCTCTTGCGTCAAATATATCCAGAATCCAGGTTTGTGGTTCTGATTGGGTAAAAACGTTGCAAGACATGTCATACGGCCGCGGGGAGTGCGCTGGGCACTACGTCCGCTTCTCTGCAATACAACGATGCATTCAATATATCCTAGTTTCTGGGATCGCTGGAATTTTCTTAAAAACTATCAGGGGTTAGACATACATGCAGACGTGGGACGTCCAATCGTTAGAAGTCGGAATGAGAGGGGTAAGTAATCGGTCAAGCGGTTACCATGCGCACACATCCATCCGGATCTCCTGGCGCGCGAACGAGGCCCTTGAACACTGTTTTCCCAAGTAAAAAGTCCACTCGCTTCACGCCCTGGTTACGCTCCGTGACCTCCCGGTCGCGCAAATGCGCGGGCGGCACGCCGCTGCGCACGGCCTCCGCGCGACAGCGCTGCACAAACGCCTTCGTCACGGCCTGCTCGTCCTCCGCGCTGAGCGCAGCCCAGTCCGCGTGTGAGATGCGCTCGTGCAGCGAACGGTGCAGCGCGACGAGCACGTCCCCCAGCGAGATCGGCGGCGGCACGGCCCCGGCGAGCTCTTCAGGCAGTGCCAGGTCGACGGGCCAGAATGGGATGCGCGGGTGGAGGATACGCAGGGCGTTGAGTGGCGGGTGGAACGCGGGCTCGCTGATCTCCGCGACGCCCAGCACGGCGCTCTGGGGCGGGTTCGCATTCACCATGCGCAGCGGTGCGAACTGGCCGGGCGCGAGATCGAAGTGGAACACAGGCGACGGCGTGTCGCCGTTGAGCCACGGGTGGATCTGCAACGGCGTCTGCGGCGCGCTGTTCAAGTAGGGGTTCCCGGCGTTCAACCACGACGGCGGCGGCGGTGCGGTCGCGTTTCCCCACGACGCCGACCGTCTGTGTCCCGGCGTGAAGTACGCAGATTGGCTGTGGACAAAGGCCGGTGGTGCCGCAGGCTGGAGGAATGGTGAAGTGGGGGGAGGCGCCGGGCCGTGCCACGAAGTCGTGCGTGGGCGATTAGAGAGCGGCGCCCAAGACGCAGTGTAAGCTGATTCGTACTGGGGCGCATTTTCAGGCCAGAGCACGCTGTTCGCGTTAAAATTTTCGGGGGTCCCAGGGGCGGAGCCAGAGCCTGTGGATCCGAGGTAAGGAGACGACGGATAGAGGATTGCGGAGGGCGGCAGGAAAGGCGATGGCCCGCCTTGGGGAGTTGCATAGTATGGATTGTGAGGCAGAGACGGAGATGCCTCCGGCACATAGACGAAGGGTGCGGCCATGGTTCTCGAACGCTAGTAGTCCACTTGTCAGTTTAAAAAGCCTCGTACGTGGCTGTGGTCGACTTGCTGTACGTTAAATGGCCTGAGTGCTGTCTATACTGCGTCAGGTAGGGGCGCTCGGCGGCGGAGACCAGAACGCTCGATATGGTCAAGTTGTGCTATTGGCACAGAGAGAGAAAAGGCCGATCTTCAGCGATTTGATAGGCCCTCAGAATTCTCCAACGCTGACCTCGAAGCTCGCCACTTGTGAGATTCCACGTCGCAGATTCACGTAGATAAATGGGCGCTAATGGGCGCTAATGAGGGCGAAAGTCCCTCAGTTGGTGCATAGGCTTATCGGAGGTAGACCGTACTCACCGCGATGTTAGTATGTCTTTGAATCTCCCGAAGAGCCAGAGAAAGCGGGACGGGAGCTTTCGAGGTGCAAGTGGTGAAGAAGCGGAGAGAGAAACGGGAGCTGTCTTTGGCCATCAACCAAATCACTGATGTGTGACGGGCGCTTATTAACTTCGGCGCTGGCGCTAATTTTACCTTCCTCCCGTCGAAACATATTTCCTCGTAGGAGAATGTCGCTTGAGCTCCAAGCCTAGTCCGTACATCCTGCCCCAAAACTTTCCCCCTCTCTACAGCTATCAACTGCATGAATATAGTTGGAATATAGTTGACAACAGAAGGCAGTGGATGCGACGTCCGCTTCCTCTCTGTATTCGTGCGTATATTGCGGGATTTGGGAACTGTTCTGATTTTTTTGAGAAGAATTCACGGCCTGAAGATGCGGACGCGGGGAGTCGAACCCCGTTGACTGCATATTCACCCTTCCCTTGATTCCCCGCCCTAGGCCCAATGCTCACCACAATCAACAATTGTGGTCCTATCGGCTTCCCACTCATCTTTCCTGATCACCCTGCACCTTCAACATCACAGGTCAGAGAAACCACGAACTTTGCCGCGCATGCTAGGGGTAAGTATCGACCAATATGTATATTTTATGCGCCCTTATAGTTGTTTTATACTTGTTTTCAACACCAACCTCTTTTGGGTCCCCAGGTACACCATGCCAATTCAGTCATAAAAAACCCACTCAATGTCCCTTCTTTCCAATTTTGCTCCCTCCGATTCCTACGACAACCACTATGATTGATGCCTCCGCTTCCCTCCTTGAGCTTTCTCACCCTCAGTCTTAGATCTCTTGTGCTTGTGGGGCTATTCCATTAGATCAGTCCTCTCAAGGCCTAAACTCGTGATGAACGCCTACGCACCGCATGCACGACTGGGACGGTTCTCGGCGGGAGCACGAACCGCATGTTCCCTCCCATCCCCAAATTCCCCCTGGCTGGAGGCGGAGCGGGCACCCATGCCATTTGCGGCCTTCCCAGTACCGGCTGCGACGCCGCGTGCCGCAAGGCTTGCTGAGGTCGGGGAACCCACACTGGCGGCGGTTCCCTCCTCTCCTCCCTCCTGGTATTTTGGTGATGGTGGTGGTGCGGTTTGCTCCGCGTCGCAGCGAATGGCGGCTTAAATTCCGGGGCGTGGGGATGCGTATCATGCACCCAATGCGCAACACGGCGCTGTTGTGCGGGTGCGTGGCCCGGCGCGTGCAAATGCGAAGACCCGAACCTCGTCGTGGTGTACGCCCTTCCGGTGTTGGTATCATCACGATCGCTGTCGGACTCCGCCACTGCTGCCGTGGAGCCGCCCCAGACGGAGCTCGTCGAGTTCGCGAGAGTATAGCTCTTGAACTGCGCGGGCGTATAGTTCGACGGGTGTGCAGGCGTGTAAGGTTTTATCGCCGGGCGGAGCGGACTCCGCTGTGCTCTGTGCGGGGCTGCACCGGAGTGCGGGTGGTGCTGCATGGTGGTCAAAGGCAAGAAGGAATGTGCGCGCGCCCACACAGGCAGGCACACTGGCCTCGTGTTTGAGCGAACTCGACGTCGCGCTAAACTCGGCGCGGAAGCTGTGGACCGAGATTCTAGAAGACGTCGGCGGTAGGGGCACTACACGCCTGCCTAGTCCGGAGATGACAATCAGTGTCCTGTTGTAGGGGCAATGGAGACCTGAGACCAGATCCTCCACGATGCTTCCCGGTAATTAATGGAGCGCCCAATTAGGCGCGGGTGGAACATCAGTGGCGCACCCACAAATGTCCATCATGGGCGTCTGCTCTTGGCACTCTTCGTCTTCTTCAGGAAACGCTCTGATACGGACCACTAATTATGCCGTCGAGGTATTAACACCATTGCTCATGCGATGTGCACGTTTCATACGCGGTGTATGCGTAGGTTTGGCGTAAATTGGCGCGTCTAATGTACACGTGATCGTATCCTATTCAGATCACCTTCAAGTTCAACGTCAGACTCCGAGTCAGGGACTCTGACTCTGAGAGAGAGTGGCATGGATCACCTGTGGCTCCACGGAAGGAAAATTCCCTTCAGGATCCCTATTAGAAGCGACGCCAATTTTTGGCGCCAAGTCATTATTTCATAAGTAGCATAAGCGCCAAATCAACAGCCCAAGCGCCTGGCTGACAGCTTCTACTCCTTGACACAGGTAGACCAAGCGCTTGGCCGGAGAGGGGAGCCACACCCACTCAATTCTGCCGCCCAGAGGAATGAAACCTCCGACGGACTGTTGAAATGAGTGGCAGCCAGACAGGTTAAGCCTGATCTGGTACAAGGCTAGTGGCGTGAGTTGAACTAAATCGTGACTCGGAGTTATAAATATGACTCCCAACAGCATTTATCGTTTGCCGGGTGAAATTCCGCTGTCATCGTACTACTAGTCTATACTAGTAGTACAGCCATCGGCCCAAAAACAACGCCGTGCTGTCCAACCGCATCCGATATATAGCCACAGTAAAGTGCTACGTCCCTCCCTGTTTTCCTTCGACAATGGCAAGTCTGAATTCGATGTGAGTCTCCAGTGACTGACCGACGAAGCTCCCGCTCACTCAGGAATTGACTAGCCTCTATCTTGATGGTATGGAGCTCTTCATATACAATCCCCCGCCATTGACGACTCCGCTACAGAGATCACCGTCGACTCGCTATCGAATCCACATGATGATCTTCCGCTGGACACGCAAATGTCTGCGCAGCTCATAGTTGACCGACATATCTTCATGCAAACACTACAAGTGGAGTCACCGCCATTTCAACATTGTTGGGATCTGAGGACCGATTGCATAATGTGCGTGTCCAGCCCCGAATTGTGATGAACGAAAGAAGGCCTAATGGAGGTCTTGTTCTGCCCAGCCCTTCGCATACTCATATTGTTTTGGTAGCAATCATACGCCATAGTCAAAGCCAGGGTACCCGACCGCTCGGCTTCGTAGAAATTCGAAGAGGCGAAATTTTGACAAATGCGCAGTATCGGTGTAAGTGAATTGTCTATTGCATAGCAAAATCTCATTTAAGCATAGATTATCGCATGGACGCGGAACTCATCAAAGTCAACCCTGATGGACCTGACCTGGAGTTCAAGGCCATTTTTCGTATCTTCGACGCCTCTAGAATGAGAACATCAAATAATTTCGAGATTGGAATTCCAGATGACCAAAGTAACATATAAAGTTCCATTGTTTTTCCGTATCTCCTGATTACTTCCTAGTTATTCCTGTCGACTATCAAAGGATCGGCACCCGTCTGGAGCAGATGTATGTTGCCGCAGACAATGGAATCCCAATGGATTTCCTGGACCTCATTGTAATGC